CCATAAAAAAGGTTGGGGATACCGGGCCGCGGCATAAGAAAGGTTGGGGATCACTGCTTTATACCATAAAAAAGCATGCCACCCCAACAACAAATCATGTCCTTCTAATGTCAACAATCTAGTATTTCTTAGTGTTATCCATTCCTTAACCCACATCAGATTTGTAGCTTAATAGTACAACTCCCAATTAGGCAAACCAAATCCTCCTCTAATTCTAGCATCTTGCAAAAGTTTTAACTTTATTCTCGCTTTCTTACCTTGCCATATATATTTCAACACAATTTTATTTAACTCTTCAAAGTAATCTTTTCCAAGCCTAATTGGAATTGTTTGAAACAAATATAAAATTCTGGGTAATATATTCATCTTGATTGTTGAAATTCTCCCTATTAGTGACAGTTGTAAATTTTCCCATTTCGCCAAATCTAGCGCTATCTGCTGTTTAAGTTTGATATAATTATTCTCATTTAATGTACTACATCTTGCTGTCAAATATATCCCCAAGGACTTGATCTTATTCGTGACCTGAATTTTCAGTAGGTCTGCCAGTCCTTCCTTTTGTCTTAATAGCATATTCTTTGTCAAGATCTTTGTCTTATCTTTATTTATTTTCAAACCAGCCACCTTTCCATATGTCTCTATCTTTTCTATCAATTTTGATGCTGTTTCTAAAGGGTCTTCTAAGATGAAAACCAGATCATCTGCAAATGCTTGCAGCTTAAATTCTTCCTTTTTGATTTTCATTCCTTTTATATTATTTTCATCTCTAATATTTCTGTTTAGCACTTCCAAAGTTAACACAAACAACAAAGGTGATAGTGGGCACCCTTGTCTTGTTCCTTTTCTTATATCAATAGAGTCTGTCAGTTCTCCCTCTATCATTACCTTTACCGTTTGCTTATAGTATATAGCTTCTATTGCTGGAATAAATTTTCTAGCAAAACCCATCTGTTCCAACAGTAATAACATGAATCGCCAATTCACATTATCAAATGCCTTCTGTGCATCTAGAAATATCAGAGCCATTTGTTTTTCAGGATGTGCCTTGTAATATTCCAAGGTGTCCAAGATTACTCTCATATTGCCTTTAATTTGTCTCTTTGGCAGAAATCCATTTTGATCAGGATGAATAAAATTATTTAAATATTTTTTAAGTCTTTCTGCCAATATTGAAACAAAGATTTTATAATCTGCATTTAGTAGAGAAATGGGTCTATAGTTTTTAATTTTTAATGGATCGGCCTCCTCTTTTGGAATAAGTGTAATATAGGCTTCTGACCATGATTTAGGTATCTTCTTCTTTAACATAACTTCATTCATAACTTCTAGCAATGGAAGATTCAACGATTCTTGTAATGTTTTGTAAAATTCTGCCGGAAGTCCATCTGGGCCTGGTGCCTTTCCATTATTTTGCTTCTTGAGTGCTTCAGTTAATTCCATCATCATTATATAGCTTTCTAACATTGTTTCAGTCTCTTTAGGTATCTGAGGTAAATTAGCATTCTGTAAGTACTGTTTAACTCTTTCCTCATCAATATTCTCTTGCATATATAATTTCCCACAGAAGTCTCGGATGATTTCCTTCTTCTCTTTACTACCATAGCAAACTTGGCCTTGGTCATCTATTAATTGCAATATTTTCCTTGATTCTTTCTTCTTTCTCAATTTGTATGCTAACAATCTACCTGGTTTGTTTGCATCTTCAAAGTAGTTCTGTTTAGCACCTCTAATTTTCTGTGCTAATTCTTCTTTTTCTACTTGACCCATTTTATGTTTAATTATATCAATTTTTAGCTTGATGTCCTTTTTCTGTGGCATTTTCTGTAGCTCTTTTTCAAGTCTTTTATACTCATCCTCTAAGGCCTTAGAGACTAGTCTTTTCATAGTATTCCTTTTCCTTGTATAGTCTATTATCAAGCCTCTAACATATGCCTTCATTGCATCCCATACATTCTGAATTGATGTATCTTCTTTTTTGTTTTCTCTAAAGAAAAAAGCCAATTCTTTGTCCATCCACTGTGTGAAGTCTTTTTCCTTTAAAATAGTATTATTTAACATCCATCTAGATCTTCTTTTTTGTCCTTTCCATTTAATTGTCATTGGATTGTGATCTACCCAAGTACTTGTTTCAATATTTATTTCTGGAATATTAGTTATTAATTCTGTTGACATCCATATCATATCTATTCTGGACCATGATAAGTGTCTGTTTGAATAGAAGGTGTATTGTTTAGTTTTAGCATTTCTTTCTCTCCATGTATCTTTTCAGTTTATTTCATCTACCATTTAAAAAAAATATTTAGGAAGAGTCTTTCTGTTTTGCTTTATTGTTTTCTGTGCTGTATAGTCCAATTTATTGTCTACAATTCCATTAAAATCTCCCATCATAACTATACTTTAGCATAGTGCAGTTCAATTATTTTCATATGTAATTTTTTGTAGAATTCTTGTTTGTCATTCGGAGCATAGATTGCAATCAGGAGTGTTTTCATATTATTGTCCATTATTTCCACCATTAGTATTCTTCCATCATCATGGGTATAAATCAATTTTGCTGGGGTGGTCTCTTTAATATTTAAAACCACTCCTCTTTTCTTACATTGTGTCAAGGAAGTAAATATTTTCCCTAATTTTGGCTGTATCAACAATTGTTCATATTGTTTTTTAATATGTACTTCTTGTAGACAAATTATATCAAATTTTAATTTCTCTAATTTATGAAAGGTTTTCCTTCTTTTAACGGTTAAGTCCATTTATATTAATTGTAATCAGTTTTTTCTCTTCCATGGTTATATTTTGTAGTTAAGTTTAGCAGCTCTCGTAGATCTTAGTTCACGTTGTTCTTTGGCTTCCACCTTTCCACCTACTGCACCTTCTTTTTCAGTCGCCATTTGGCAGTCCTCTTGGAATTCAATTAGTGAGATCTCTTTTTCTGCCTCTTCCTCTTTCCCTCCAAAAAATTCTGTATAAAATAATTCCGCTTTCTCAATTGAGTCAATTCTATGTCTCTGTTCTTGCCATGTGAACATTAAACCTCCTGGAATCAGCCATCTATAATTCACCTCTTTTTTAAGTAGCATTTTAGTCAGGAATCGGTATTCTCTTCTCATCTCTCTCACTCTTCTGGGTATTTGTTTCAAGACCACAATCTCCTTGTCTTTATATTTCAATGTTTTCTCTTTTGCCACTTGCAATATTTGTGTTTTAATGGCTTTCTTTGTAAATCTAATATGAACTTCTCTTGGTAAGCTATTTCTCATCGCATATCTTGTGAAAACTCGATAAACCTCATCTATTCCATCCATCATCTTCTCTTGAGTTATTTCCAAAGCTTCAGCCAGTATTTGTATCATTATCTCAGCTAAGTTTTGTCCTTTCTCTTCCTCTACGTTTTGGAATCTAAGATAGAATTCTGATCTATCCATCTCCCATCTCAACATACCACTTTTATCTTGTTCAACCACTGTTAATCTATTATCAATATCTCCAATCTTCTTGTCTCTTTGTTTATCTTCTTCATTTTTTTGGAATCTCTCATCATACTTCAACATCATTTGTTGGATGTTCTCCACTTTTTCATCGGTTTTCCCTGTTCTTTGTTCAATGTTCTCTGTTCTTTGTTCAATGTTCTCTATTCTCTTTTCAATATTCTCTGATCTTGCTTGAATATTTTGAATTCCTTGCATAATCATCTGCAGAGTCACTTTTTCTTGTTCTTTTTCTTGCTTTAACATTGTCTGTATTGAATGTTGTCCTCCAGATGGTGGAGAGGAAGAAGTAGAAGTTGAAGAACCAGGGGCTGTAAATTTCCTACTCATTTTAAGCAATTCAAAATCTTCAGGTTCTTCTAAACCTTAATCCAATTGTGAAGTAACCAATTATAGTTCAAAATAAAAATAATAGAAAAAAGAAGCCCAATAATAATGATAAGAAAAAAAAGGGGGGAGGACAAAATTTCTACAGGTTCTTGTATGCCTCAATCCAATCAGTAGTCAGATGAAGAAAAAGGCTTGAAAAAAAGGGGGGAAAAGGAAAAGGAAAAATTCTTCAGGTTCTTCAACACCTTAATCCAATTGAAGGGTCTCAAATAGAAAAGAGTGCATAAGAATAAACCAGAAAGGTAGATGAAAAAACAAAAATACCAGGAAAGGGGGAAAAAAAAGCTATTCTCTTAAAAAAAAAAACCATGAATACTAAAGCTTTCCCTTTAAAATAAAAAGCAAACGTAGAGATTGGACTTCCAAAGAAAAAAAGAAAAACAAAGACAAGCTCCAACAAAGCCAAAAACCCAAATAGTTATTACAAGAAAAAAAAAGATAAAATGAAATACAATAAAGCTGATGAGGAGGGATAGCACAACTTAGAAAAAGTAAAAAGAGCACACTGCACTTAATTATCCAAGGCTCTTATTATAGCTCTCTTCTCCAAAAACTTATCACCTTTTTCCCCCTAGGTTTCAACACCAGACTCCAGCTGTTGATAGAAACCCAGAAGAGCACCTGCAATAATACTCTCCCATGCTCTTCCCTCTATCTTAAATAGCAATGTCCTTGAAAAAGAGTCTCAGTTCTTTCTTTCTCAGCTTTGTCTGGTCACAGGGAAATAGTTGGCAGTGTTACAAAGTTTCTTTGCTCTCACTTTCCCCCTCCTTTTCCAAGCAAGATATAATAAGAATTAATAAAAAAAGAAAAAGATATTTTAAAAAAAGAAACAACTAAAAGGGAGCCTATAGCCTAAAATATTACAAAATCAAAAAGGAGAAAAAAATAGATGTAAAAGAAAAAACCAGTCCAGTTTCAAAATATAAGATCGTGTATAGAAAATCCAGCAATGAGAAAAAAAACATTACTTTGACATTCCTGTTTAAGATCGCCGCTTAATCACTTCTGTCAAAACTTTTACAGATTCTTTCTTTTCCTTAGGGTGTCCTTTCAGATCTTAGAATAAAGAAAAAGTTCTCACCAAACCGGCACACTCTCTGTTCTCTTCCGTTTTGGAGCTGTCCCAACTTCAGCAGCTTTAATGGCTGCCTCTTTGCCGCTGGCAAGAAGAGCTTCTCCTGGATCTACCAGGGACTTTGCAGTATTCCTGGGATCGACAGGATGCGCTCTTCACTTTCACCGCCTCTTAGGGACAGTTTAGATCCGATAGGACCGTCCAGGAGCAAAGATATCGGCAGCGATCTCAGACCTCCAAGATCGCATGCCGTATCGTCGCGATGCCAGCTCTGCCCTCCACTCCAGACTGTGGTATTCTAATAAACTCATATCAAGCAAACATTCAGCTGGCATGTGATGGTTTTTAGGGTCGGTTTATACAACTGATTTTGAATTGGAAGACACTGGGTTATGTTAGTCCCACCACCACCAAATGCCTGTTTGATACTATGGCTTACTTCACACAGAATAATGATAAGCCTGATTTCCATATATGCTATACATGCCAAGGTGAACAATAATACTTAACAGAGTCACAGAAATTGAGCAATTTGAATTGGAAAGGAATATCTTAGGGACTCATTTTTTGCTTTCATAAAGAAAACAAGCTAAAAGATCACTGCATTTTCTATATCATAATCTTCCACTAAGAGGGTTATAGTTATGATAATGCCATAGGAGATATGAAATATCAATGGGCAGTTTCTATGTAGTATTAAGAAAATACTGCTACTCAAATCTGCTCCTTTGACAAATAGCTATAGAGATTATCTGAGATTTTTCCAGAATATATATATTCCGTTTTAATGACTGCTGCTTCTAATCTCTGGCATTTAGTTACAAGAAACTGGTTGATAGAACCTGAAAAGCAAATCTGCCTCTGAAGCGCTTAGGACTAATTTGATATGAAGCTGTTTATCATATAACCTATACTGTTCACAAGATGTATTTTGAGTGTATGTATATTTAAACTTTGAATTGCCTCTATTGATGAAATGCAAGCAAAATTCTCAGAACTGTTTCTTGAAATGCAAAGCAATGGAAAAATATTGCTTTATTTTTTAAAGAATTGAATTTTAATTTCTACTAAGGCATTTTTGCCTGATTCTGTATTGTGCACTTGATTATTTTATCTAGTCATTCTCTTATTTATTTATTTATTTATTTATTTATTTATTTTGGCAGAGTTACTGGTGTTGAATGGCACAGATCCTGTGGCTGAAGTAGCCATTCAACAGCTCAGTGAATCTGCAAAGCAAAAGCTCAAATCTCCCAGAAAAAAAAGCACCATCGTAATATCAGGGATTTCAAAGGTACAAAATAATCATGATTTTTTTTTACTTAATTAATTCAAAATCATTTTTTTCCCTACTAAATTCTTTTAAAAACTCCCCACTGGATTTATGCGCGATTTTGCAGTTGAATTTCTAGACTGCGGCATGGTTTCCCAGAGAAAAAAAGACATTTCTTCTGAATACTGCAAGCATCAGAAAGATTACACTAACTGTTGCTAAAGTTTTTCATGTCATGAAGTAAAAACAAAAACAATAATTTGTGGTTGTCTGTACTTAGGGTAAAAAACATAGTCATTAGAATCAGGTATAGATGTAATGAGTTAATTAATTAAAATTTATCTAGATCAGACCGTAGAAGCCTTAGTACACAAAATTGTCTGCTACAACATCCTACCTGTCAATGACTACTTCAGCTTCAACCACGATAATACACAGGCAAACAATAGATACAAACTTAAAGTAAACCGCTCCAAACTCGACTGCAGAAAATATGACTTCAGCAACAGAGTGGTCAATGCCTGGAACTCACTACCTGACTCTGTTGTTACATCCTCAAACCTCCAAAACTTTAAACTTAAACTGTCTACCGTGGACCTCACTCCATTCCTAAGCGGTCTGTAAGGGTGTGCATAAGCACACCAGCGTGCCTACCGTCCCTGTTCTACTTTTCCCATTTATTCGTCTCATTTATTATGCATATACTTACACCAGTTTATATTTATATGTTTATATGTTATGTTTATACTTGTTTTCTCATACACGGTTGACAAACTAAACTAAACAAATAAAATAAATAAAGGAAACTCACTTTTTATTCCATAGTATGTCCAAGTGTGCATGGTAGAACATTGACACAAATATTTTAAGCATATCTAAAAATTCTTTTTGGTCCTAATTTTATTCCAAACTAATGATGTTTTGGTTGTGGTATTTGTTTTTCATGTTTCAGACTAATTTATCTCAGGACAGCAAAACTGCACTCATGATGGACTATGCAGCAGCCATGGATGGCTCCTGTAAACAAGATGATACTTTTAGTTTTGAAGGGTGTCTTGCACAATCCCCTTCAGATGAAAAAGTATCGCTAGCTGCCTCCCAAATGACATCTGCCCTTGAAGAACCCCAGGAACACAGCCATGGTGCCTGGACCTTAGACAGTCACCATCAATGGAGCAACAATGCACTACTAGACCAAGACTGTGATAAGATATCAGGGAGCTCTGTAAGCATCTCAGAATCTGAAATTGGGAAGAAATCCAAAGGTATGAATCTTTCCTATTAAAGAGGTATCAGTGGCATAGCTTTCTCCAGCCAGGTATTTTCTATGGAACTATGGGGAACTATGCCTTTTTTATGACTTATGGGCTTCAGCTGCCAGAATGCTGGCTCAGGAATTCTGGGAGTTGAAGTCCACAAGTCCTAAAAGGGGCCATAGTTCCCCACCTCTATTCTGGGTATCTTTAGAATTCCAGTCCAAAACTTTTTTAAGTGCCAGAAGTGGAGAGCTGTTCTAATTAGTCTTGTACTTAAATCAGAGAAGGCAATATTTTTGAGCCTTGGGCACACTTAGAAAATCACTGAGGTGGGGATGGAGTGTATGCCCCCACTGGGGTTGTGAATAGGGATTAGAGGAAAGCTGGTGGTATTTCTTGCCCCTTCCTCTTGTACTTTACTTTTTCCTGGTAGTAATTTGGAACAGTCTTCTTAACAGAACAACCATGTTGCTATTTTGTTTTACTTTCAGATTCTGTCTTTGAAGAAAAACATTTAAAAAGTTCAGAATTAAAAAGAAAAAAAACACATGGAAATTATGTGTGTATGTGTGTAACAAAATCCTCTCTATGGTTTTTCAATATTTATGTGTTATTCTAGAACAGGTGGGCAATTAATTTTCCCAAGGGGCCACATGAGAAACTGGGATTATTATGGAGAACCAAACATTAATAATAGGCTGAATATAATTCTGTTCAATATTAATTTTATCACTTTATAAAAAGCAGTAACTTGTATGGTTTTATTAATATGAAGGTGCATAAGCATGCATTCATGCATGTGCCTAAATTGAAAAAGCAGTCACCTTCAAAATAAGTTGTAATGCATGCATAGCGTACACTTATTTACATTTGATTTCTAATTTCCAAGTGATCTCACATGGGCCAGACAGGGACACCCAAAGGGTCAGAAGTGGCCTGGGATGGGGGCAGTAAAATATCCAGATTTGTTCTAGAATGAATGGTTCCTGTGAAAATCCATTTATCTGTCTTTTGAATATAAATATTTTTCCTTTTGATCTACGTAACAGATCAGAGTGTTGAATCATGAATCAGTGGTGGGATTCAAATTTTTTTACTACTGGTTCTGTGGGCGTGGCTTGGTGGGCATGGCAGTGGAAGGTTACTGCAAAATCCCATTGCCTCCCCACCCACTAACCTGCTTTCCAGCTCCGTTCTCCTGTGCAGGGCAACAAAAGAAGACGCAGCTGATCAGCTGGGACTTGGGAGGCAGAGAATAGACGGGGGTGGGGCCAGTCAGAAGTGGTATTTGCCATTTCTCCGAACTACTCAAAATTTCTGCTACCGGTTCTCCAGAACTGGTCAGAACCTGCCGAATACCACCTCTAGATTGAATGTGGTGATTGATGCAAACAAGCATCTTCTTGTTCTTTGCATTAAAGCTACAGAAAATTTCTGTTGAATATAAATAGCATGTACAAGGAGAATACCAGGAGTGTATGGTAACATTTGAGGATATTGTGCAGTTCTTTTGCTCAGGTTTAGAAGTAATTACAATTTCCTACAATATGGACAAGCAGTCTAGAAAATTCCTATGACACAATTGCAAGTGACAGTATGAAATTGTACAGCTATAGATGGGAAGAAGATCTAAACAAAAGCTGGGTAAAAAGACTCTTTTGTGGGTTCTTGGGATTTTGATGTAAGACAAGGCAGGCCAGGCACCACCTGTGGTTTTCTTTCTTTCTTTCTTTCTTTCTTTCTTTCTTTCTTTCTTTCTTTCTTTCTTTCTTTCTTTCTTTCTTTTTTTTTTCTTTTTTTCTTTCTTCCTTCCTTCCTTCCTTCCTTCCTTCCTTCCTTCCTTCCTTCCTTCCTTCTTTCTTTCTTTCTTTCTTTCTTTCTTTCTTTCTTTCTTTCTTTCTTTCTTTCTTTCTTTCTCGCAGCGTAGCAGCACAAGCCTTTAGTTTTCATCCTAAGCAATATTTCTTTTTTCCTGCTCTTTGAGCTTCCTGGAATAGATAACATTAGCCATAAAATAATCAGCAGCAGCCTGAGTTAGAAGTGACTACTCAGCATACTGTACTCATAGCAAGTGAGTTCTCTCCTGGCAGAATAACATTCCCTGCATCTCGTAGTCTGCATTGATATGTATGCAGACTAGAAAGTTGCCTAAATATATTGTTTCTCCTATATTCTATCCCAACTTAAAAAACATAAGAGGTAATTGCACTGGTTGGCTTTTCTCTCTTGAGCTGGCCTTTTCTCTACAGATATCTCTTTTCTCTGTCTCTTCAGCTTTCTATGAAAGCTATCTATAATGCATAGATGTGTTTCACAGAATTCATTTTTTCCCTTCAATGGCTGTATGATCATTTCAAGAGTCTTGATCTAGGCTGTCCTGGAAAAATCAAACTTTCACAGCCTATGCAAATGAAATCCATTTCTGAATATAGTTTCTGATTTCCATGTATTCTTTTTGTTTCCTAGAAGTTTTGTTTGATGTCTCGTCCTTTCCTTAGTAGTAGCCCCACTTTCTGATGTGAAAATAAAGACACCTTATACTCAGTTTCTTCTTATCAACTAAAAATAATAACTTTTCAGCTGATGATAACATTCTAGAATAGCATGCGATTGGGGACCCTCTACCATCTGGCATCCTGTGGTTTAGTACTGTCCTAATGCCATATGGCAAAGCATCACAGACTAGTGTTATGGTGGGATTTTGTTGAAATGAGCTAGGACAGAGTCCAAGGATAGCAATGATTTTACTGCCTTGAACGTTTTGTCTTGAGTGCTCGACCAGACCCAGGTGCTTTTTTGTCCAGTATGCAGTAAGAAGGAGTGGTAAAAATTGAGCTGCTGGCAGGCCTGGGAGAGGTCTAGTTAAGCTAAGATTCCCCCCCCCCCAAAGCGAGGTGAGGTTGTGACTTACCACTGGTACAGGATAAGCATGCTGCTGTAGTGCCTTGTTATGGTGCACTTGTAGTCTGTGCAGATGCAAGTATCGCCATTAGTCTTAACTGGGATCCTTTTGGGAGTCTCCCACTGGCTACAGTCCACAGATTGGAGCACTCTGTGCTGTACCAGCTTGTCTAGTTCCACATCAATTTTAGGCTTCAATCCAAAGGGAACCCTGCATGGTTTTAATCAGATTGGAGTTACTGCTGGATCGAGATTGAGTGAACTGGGTGCCCCTTTGTATTGTCCCAGCTCAGTGCTGAATATGTCAGCATATTATTGGCATTCTGCTGCTAGATTGGCTATCTGGGTTTGATGGTTGCCTGTCACCCTGATGCCCAGGGCCTTGAACCAGTCCAGACTTATGAAGCTGGTGCGCATCCTCTCTATGACCACTAAGCTGAAGGGACCCTTGAACTCTCTGAATTGTACTCCAATGGTAGCCTCACCCCTTACAGGAACATGGTGACTCTGGAAGTCCATTAGCACTAAGCTCGATGATTTGAGCAGGACCAGCCATTGGCTATGTTTCCAAATGTGGTTGAAAGTCATGGAAGAGATAATGGACAGGGCCAATCCAGTATTGAGCTCCATGGAGCATGGGGTCCCTTGCAGTTTTAGAGTTGTATTTTTTCTTTGATGGGGTGTTGGGCCCCTGTGCACTGGATGCTGTGCCTTCCCAAGCAGTATTCAACTCTCTTCTGTCCTGGGGGCCATTTCCCCTTGTGCGGCTGCATCGCAAGTTTCATTTCCCACTGACAAGATCTGCAAACTCTGGCAATGTGCCCTTGCTTTCCACAGGTACGGCATACTGCTGTGTGGAATCTGCACTCTGCTCTTTCATGCAGTCCCCCCAGCTTGCGCAGTTCTGTGGGGGAATTGCTTGCTCTGTGGAATGTGGCCGTCTGGGTGGCTCTCTCTGCAAGTGATCAATTTCTTTGCTCTCACTGACCTCACCTGAGTTTTCTGCGGTCTCTTGGTGGATCGCTGGGGGCTGGTGTGTGTTTTTGGTGGCTGGAGAGTCTTCACGTTCTGGGTGAGTAATAGTGAACTCGTTGAGCCATCCCAGTTTAGCCATTTTGAAAAGGCCCCTGTGGTACTGGTTAATACCTGTACTGCTGTGGTTGGAGCTGAGCTGCACTTAGGAGTTCTGGAGACGGATCCCACTGGTATGTCTGTGCTTCCAGTGTGTTTTACTGGCAGGCAGGGCAGGGAGCGTGATCCCACCAGGGCTCTTTACCCAGTCTGACACCCAGTGATTTCAGCGTGCCTCCAGTGTGGTTTACTGGTATGCAGGGGTGAAGACTAGTCCTGCTGGGGCTCATTAACCAGCCTATCACCCAGTGATTTCAGTCTGTTGGTTAGCAGCAGCTGTCTCCTCTGCAGCATCCCATCTTCATTGCTACTATTGTGTAGTGGGCTTCAGTAAGCAAGAAGCAGACCAACATAGCTACAACAACATTTATTGACTCAAAACTGGAACTGAAGAACAGCAGGCAAATGCCTGTAATTTATACTCTAGGCCCACAGGGCCTTAATCAATCATAATTAAGCCCACCCAAAATATGAATGTTCTAAGTTTCCCTCCAAAACAGTTGGGGTTAACAGTTAGGGTCATCTAAAGGTTAGTTTCACTTTAGCAGGGCTTAACACAACTATATATATTCAAAACATAACAGTGTATAACTAAAGGTCTTAAGGATACCACTATTTCAATCATAACTCCTGTTCTCTGAGATTAATGACCTTTTCATTACAGCCTGTTGTTTAGGGAACCCTGAAGGTCTGCAAGGTTAATGTGGGTTGTTCCTGGCATTTTGGTATTTAAAATATTTCTATTGGTACAATGTATACTGCATATCAGTTTTTCTCAATCTTGGCAGTTTGAAGAAGTGTGGACTTCAATTCCTAGAATTCCCCAGCCACCTATGCTAATTCTGGGAGTTGAAGTCCACACATCTTCAAACTGTCAAGATTGGGAAACACTGCTGTGTATTATGAATTTGTCATTTTAAGCTCAAAGTCTTTCCAGTTTCAGGTAGCAACCTAACATTCTGAGATTTGGGACATTTCTGTTTTTTTGTAACAAAAACACTTGAATTTAATTTGACAGTCCTACAGTACTGTTAAGAAAAGGTGTATGCCATGTCAACAGCTCCTGCCTTTTATGATGGTGCTCAGAAATATTAACTAATTATTTAGAGGGGAAAAAGTCATAATCCCTAGATTGAAGTCCACACCAATTCTGACCAGTATTTATGAAATTGATGGGATCCAGTACAGCTGTGGAGAACTCAATTGCCATAGTTTAGGGAACTTTAGGATTTCAGATAAAGTTGATTTTGTGAAGTTAACTGTCATGCCCCTGTCGGAATCTGATTCCGTGGGGGAGGCCAAGCAGTTGACAGGGAATGGGAGTGTGGCTCCGTTGGCTGTGGAAGAAACTGGGGAAGGGCAAAGTCCAGCTGGGCACAGCAGGGGAGAGGTACAGCAAGGCAGAGAGAATTCAGAGGAAGATCCAGGCCCACCCCCTCTTAACCCTAGGACACGCGGGGAGGAATGGAGAAGGGAGCAATGTGAGTTGTGTGGCTTATGGGTCCTGATTCCCTTCATTTGCTGCAGCTGGGAACACAGTGTTTAAAAAGGGAGATTGCGCACAGCAACTCATTGGAAGCAAATTGTGAGTTATCTGTTATTGTTGAGGCTTATCTGGGTTCCTGGCATCTTCCCAACTGTATTTTTTGTTGGCCTTTCAAGCCTGGAATTCCTTATCTTGTCCTGTCCAGTTAATTACTGCAGCGTGGTTTGTATGGATTTTTATTTAGTTTGTATGTACTTTGTTTTCGGACTGAATTTCCTCCACTTAAAGACTGTTCTTGGGAGAGTTTTTTTCTCCAGCCGAAGGTAACCTGGACATTGGGGGCAAAATTGGAGGTATTAAAGGGACTCTTCTTACTTATGTGACTGTGTTGCCTTTGTGCCACACCCCTGGTCATCACACTAACTATATATTTTCATTGTTACAGGTGGAATATTAAAAAAGAGTGCAAAGTTATTTTTTCTTCGAAGACACCATAAAAAAGACGCAGGAATGAGCCAATCACATAATGATCTCTCCTACCTACAGCAACCCAGATCTGATGGTACTCAAAAGAAAGGAGGAACCTTAACACGAATTCTAAACAAGAAAACAATTTTTAAGAGCAAAACCAAACTGAATGGCTCATCAGTTGGACCACATGCATAAATTCTAGAACCTGCCAAATTGTATCAGCTGCACGTGACTAATTGTTTACAGAAAAGTGAACTACCATATCCTTTATGAGGTTCACTAGCAAAGTGGTTAATGGAAGATTAGCAAAGCATAGCTAGGAATGATTGGAGTTAGAACTATGGTTACTAAACTGTAGAGAATAACTCATATTTAGTTGGAAATTAAGCTAATTTAATTCAGTAGGCCTTAGTCTAAAATATAATTTCTAGAAATTAGGTTTAAAATGCATTTTTGCTTGAAATTCAAGTATAGCTGAGAGTTACAATGAAAAACTATTGCATTAATACATATCTGTAGTGGTTGCATTTTTAAAGAGCCACAATGCAAATTTTAAATGAGCTATTGTGCCTGTGGGAAAATGGAAAAAATGAAAATGAAAAAAAATGTGATAAAGGTTGAATGATTTAAGAAAATTGTAGGAGAGTTCTGTATTACTTTATGAGATCCAAAAATCATATGGAGTCTGGATTTACCTTTGCAGACTAATGCATATTAGTAATATGCATAAGCTTTCATGAACTTGATAAAGGCTGATGAAATAAACTGCAGCTCATGAAAGTGTATACCTTTTAATGAAATCTGAAAATATGCTACCATATTCCTTCAAATTTATGATCTGGGAAATATTTTACCGTGCAGCTGTATGTTTGTGCACACGTGTGTGCATGCACTTGTGTGTATGTGTATAGGAACAATTCTTGTTGTATGCATTGGAACTTAATCTCAGATAAAAATGCATAACATTTCAGCCTTAACATGTTTCTGGAGATAAAATAAAGTATGGAATTTGGAAATCTGATACAGTAGTTATTAAACATATGTAAAACTGTATTGCTTTTGATAGATGCTAGTAATACAAACTGGTAATTTATATAATTATTAATTAGGAATCTATTTTTTTTGTTCTGTAGATATCCTTTTAGTCTAAGATAAGAAACCACAGCTTATTGAAGTTTACTTTTCTTACTTCCACAATACTTAGAAACAACATTGCCAATATTGCAATGTGCCTTGGAAATCCTAAAATATAGTAATAATTTAATGGCAGCATACTGACATGTTCACTCTTTTTAAGCATAGAGCATGTTCACTCTTTTTAAGTTTCAGCTGTTATGTTTCTGTTTTGACACAGCTTGCTTATTTGAAAAGATATGGGGGATGGGTTCCCCATTTCTTTATATTGGATATTATAACTTGTTCATTAAAAAAAATAAATTTCTTAGTGATTCTGCCTATCTTACCAAACATTATGTATTCTGACTCAGTAGGGATTTGCTGTGGAATATATGGCTTGATTGTAGATCCTAGAATCAAGTTCTATTACATTTGTTCAGGGTAAATCTGGTGCCAGTTCCATCGCTGTAATTTAAATCAATAAACGAAAAAAATTCATTGAAATAAGGCTGTTCCTCCTGTAGATCAATGATTTGCATAAACTGCAATAATGATGTTAAAAATACAGCCTAATGAAGTCCAACATACAAAACATTATTGAAATGAAACAGCAATTTCTGGAAAGTTGTGGAAATTCCCATTTTTGTAATGGTGATATATTACAGACTAACTGCTACGGGGTTATTTATATGAAATACTTTATTTCTATAGTAAGTGCAGATAGTCCTTGCTTATCAACCCTAACTGGGACCAGAATTTTCATTCAGTGTCATCATAACTTCAGTCACTGAATAAATGGTTTTAAGCAAGGACTACCTATGCTATGATTACCTTAGACACATATCTTTGGATGTAAATTTGCTTCCATGTACCTGGAGTTAGAATTGGTTTGCATGACATTCCGTCTTGTCTTTTTAAAAAATTGTATAGCTTTATGTTGGCACATAAGCAGACTGAAATGCCAAATTAAAAACAAGAGGACTTGTTCTGTAACTCTTACAAATACTTGAACTCTTTTAAAACTGTTATTTGAATGACTCAAAATTATGTTGCTGGATTTTAAAGAAAAGTACCAAAGGTATGTCATGTGGTTTGTGATTTTTATCTTAAATCATTTGAATAGAAATGAGTAGCAATAACACTTAGACTTATATACCACTTCATAGTTCTTTATAGTACTCTCTATGCAGGTTAAAGAATCAACATATTGACCCCAACAATCTGGGTCCTCATTTTACCAACCTCAGATCCTCAGAAACCCAGGAATTCTCTGGATTTTGTGCCAGATTGGCACTTTTCCTTCTTGAGTTTTAGGCCTACTTTGCAGTAATGTTGATTACTACAAGGAGATGTTCCGCCAGGACTGCTGCTGAGTCCCCAGCAATCAGGACATCATCAAAGTATGGGCAGATACCGGGAATGTTCTTCAGTGTTTGTTCCATAATACTTTGGAATAACCCTGGTGCTATGCTTACTCCAAACTGCAAGTGGTGCACTCAGACTGCAACTCTTTGTTTGACTATTGTTTGTGCTTCTGCGGTAGTGTTGTCTACCAGTAGCTGCTTGCAGGCCTGGGCAAGGTCTAGCTTAGTGAAGATTCGGCCTCCCTGGAGTGAGGCAAGGATGTGGCTTACAACTGGTACAGAATAAGCATGCTGCTGAAGTGCCTTGTTTATGGTGCACTTGTAATCTGCACAGATGTGAACGTCCCCATTAGGCTTAACTGGGGTCACTATAGGAGTCTCCCACTGCCTACAGTCCACAGATTGGACTGTATTCTACAGCATTCCCTGCTGTACAAGCTTGTCTAGCTCCACATCAATTTAGGCTTCAATGAAAAGGGAACCCTGCATGGTTTTAATCGGATTGGAGTTACTGCTGGATTGAGGTTGAGTGAAATGAGTACTCCTTTGTATTGTTCCAGCTCAGTGCTGAATACATCAGCATACTGTTGGCATACCACTTCTAGATTGGCTATTTGGTTTTGATGGATGCCCGTTACCCTGATGCCCAGGGCCTTGAACCTGTCCAGTCCTTTGAAGCTGGTGTGTGGCCCTTCTATGACCATTAAGCTGAGGGGACCCTCAAACTCTCTGAATTGTTGAAGCTTGATGATTTGAGCTGTACCTGCTGTCGGTTATGTTTGCAAATTGGTCAAAAGTTGTAGAGGAGATAATGGACAGGGCCAATCCAGTATCGAGCTCCATGGAGCATGGGACCACTTGTAGTTTTAGTTGGAGTCATATTTTTTCTTTGATGGGACGTTGGGCCCCTGTGCATTGGATGTTATGCCTTCCCAAGCAGTATTCAACTGTGTTCTGTCCTGGGGGCCATCTCCCTTTGTGCTGCTGCATAACAGGTTTTGTTTCCCACTGACAACCTCTGCAAACACTGGCAATGTGCCCTTGCTTTCCACAGGCATGGCATACTGCTGTGTGGAATCTGCACTCTGTCTTTCATGCTGTTCCCTGCAGCTTGCGTGGCTCTGTGGGGGAGTTGCTTCGCTCTGTGAAATGTGGCCGTCTGGTGGCTCTCTCCACAAGCAATCAATTTCTTCGCTCTCACTGACCTCCCCCGAGTTTTCTGTGGTCTCTTGGTGGATTGCTGGGGGGCTGGTGTGTGTTTTTGGTGACTGGAGAGTCTTCATGGCCCCTCCAGCAGCCTCATCTGCCATGACTTCCTTCAATGCATCTTGGAAAGTCAGTTTCTCCATGGTGAATAGGTGCCACTGTTATTTACTATTAGGCAAGCTGCAAATGAGCCTGTCTCTGAGATGGTCTTTCAGATCAGGGAACTCGCATTGGCGCGAAGCTTGGCAGAGGGCTGCCACAAACTCTGCTGCAGATTTCCTGGATCTGTGTTCACGTTGCTTGAATGCATTGCGCCAGGTGATGACCAAGAGTTTATGCTCAAAATGTTCCCTTAATTTTTTCTTGAGGTCTGCGTAGATCACAGTCTCTACGCTTGCTATCAAGTTTTCAGTGATATCACGTGGCTTGTCCACAGATACATAGTAAGGTTGCCATCTTCAGGCCATCGTTCATGACCTTGTTAGCCTGGAGATAGTTTTCTACTCAGGAGACATATGAGCAATCATCAAGAAGATTTTTTTTGTCTAATATAATAATTTGATACAATTTGCTTGGATCTCATCTTCTGCAATAGCTTAAACTCAATTTATGGCCTAAAAGTTAAAGAACCTTTTTCCAACAGTGATAACAGTATGATTGATTTTTGTCTCAATTTATGTCCTTGCAAAGAGGATCTTAATGATGTGACTCCAAATTATAATTTTGAAATAGACAACTATGATCTCATAGCTGCCGACCTCGCATCTCTTGATTGGCACCATTTGTTCACAGGTTGTAATACTGCAGAAAACAATTATAACACTTTTTTGCTCGAAGTCAATAGAGTCATTAACCTATATGTTCCAAAAATAATCCTTAAAGCCAAAGAACAAAAACAAATTACCCATAACAATAAGAAAATTACAATCCAAAAAAATTATCTTTGGCGAGAAAACAAAATTGGCTATGTATGGTATCTAACTTTAAAAACTGTTACAAAGCCTTATGCCACCAGATAAATGCAGAATGCACCAATTACCATTGCAAACAGGAGGAAGAATTGTTAAACTTGAAATCCACCTGAGCCTTCTATAATTTTGTAAATGCCAAACTTAAACCCTCAAAATCTATCCCACCCCTAAAAGGGCCTAACGGGAAAGACTGTAACAATGAAGCTGTTATGGCCAACCTATTCAATATGTTCTTCAGCTCAGTCTTTGTTGACAACAATGGCTGCTGCCCCCCACTTCCTGGTCATATCATAACAAATTGTAACAATTTACTACATATTGATTTTATAGTAGGAATGTTGAAATGGCACTACGTAACCTAAAGCCATCTTTATCTGTTGGCCCTGATGGATTATGTGCCTACTTCTTGAAAAAGCTTGTCACTACCCTAGCCGGACCTCTATGCACAATCTATGAGGTATCTTTCTGAAATAGCTCCTTTCCCGACTTATGGTCATTAGCCACAGTCAAACCTATTTTTAAAAAGGGAGACCCTAGTCTAGTAGAAAATTACAGACCAATCTCACTGTATTGCATCACCTGTAAAGTCATGGAATAAATTATTAACCAATCCATCACCCTCCACTTAAAAACAAACAACCTACTTTCTAACAAGCAGTTTGGTTTCAGAAAAAAATTGTCCTGTAATCTACAGAAACATTTGGACCACACATCTTGATCAGGGTAAAGCAATAGATGCAATTTGCATAGACTTCTACAAAGCGTTTGATTTAGTGGTGCATGACAAATTATTTTTGAAAGTAAATTCTTATGGCATCTCTGGATCCCTGCACCCAGTGGAAAGCCGTGTTCCTGTCAAACAGGCAATAAATAGTCAAAATAGGGAGGGCCCTATCAAATTGGGCACCAGTTAACAGCGGTGTCCCCCAAGGCAGCGTTTTAGGACCCACACTCTTTCTGCTTTACATCAATGACCTATGTGATCATATTAAAAGCAGCTACATCCTCTTTGCCAATGACGTATTTTTTTTAACACCACTGACAATGCTACTGCCCTACAAAGCGACCTTGACTATGTGTCAGAATGGTCGCATAATTGGCAACTTCAAATTTCAACTAATAAATGCTCTGCCCTACACATTGGCAATAAAAATCAGAACACCAAATAAAAGTTGGGCGGAAATGATCTCATAGACAACCCTCACTCTGTCAAGGACCTAGGAGTACTCATCTCAAACAATCTAAGCCCCAGAGCTCACTGTAACAGCATTGCAAAAAAGGCATTAAGAGTTGTTAACCTTGTTTTGCAAAGCTTCTTCTCTGGTAATATTGAATTGTTAACTAGGGCATACAAAACCTTTGCCAGACCAATTCTCGAATACAGCTCGTCCGCCTGGAACTTGCACTGTATATCAGACATTAACACAATTGAGCAGGTTCAGAGATATTTCTTGGGAAAAGTATTCCACTCCTCCATTCACAATATGCCTTGAAATTCTGGGCCTGGACAATCTGGAACTGCGCCTGATCTAAGCATAGTTCACAAAATAGTCTGCTATAACATCTTGCCTGTCAATAACTTCTTCAGCTTCAATCACAATAATACATGGGCAACAACCAATACAAACTCAAGGTAAACTGCTTCAAACTTGATTGCAGAAAATACGACTTCAGCAACAGAATGGTCAATGCCTGGAACGCCCTACCAGACTCCGTTGTTACAGCCTCAACCCCTCATAGCTTCAACTTCAAACTGTCTACCATGGACCTCACCCCATTCCTAAGAGGTCCTTAAAGGGGGCATGCATAAGCGCACCAGCATGCCTACCGTCCCTATTTTACTGTCTCCATTTATCTGCATTTACTTCCTTTGTTAAATAAAATAAATAAATAAATACATACATACATACATACATACATACATACATACATACAGGTAGTCCTTATCTACCAACCACTCACTCAGTGACCATTCAAAGTTGGGACACTAATGAAGGACTGGTACTTTTAACTAGTCCTCAAGTTCTGGCAATTGCAGGACCCTTGCAATGATCTGGGTGATTGGCAATTGGTTTCACTGATACTATTTACAATCTTCCCAGCCAGATTCCCACAAACAAAGGCAATGGGGAAGCCAGCAGGGAAGATCACATGTAGCTTTGATAAATCCCTCTCGACTTCTTGCACTCACACTGCACCATCCTTCCCTTGGGCTCCCTGCATATGCAGCCTCCACGAAGTCTCTCAAGCACTCCCCCAGCCTCCCCCACCTCATCCCTGCCCTATGCGGGTCCCCCCCAGAACCTCCCTACAATATCCCTCACTCTCACAAAATATCTTCATGACACTCCCTATCTGAGTGTATATTATTTAGAAATGGCAATCCCGTGTCTTAACCTGAGGACTATTTGTATAAGACGATAGAGAGAAAGTCAAGTTGCAGAGTTGGAGGTATTAAGTTGCAAGGACCATATCCGAACTGTTGGAGGAAAGATCCTTCCACCCATAAATATATAAAGTTCCACCAGGCTTCACAGCCA